CCTAACCCATGCCGACTTCAAGTTCAGGCGATCCTCCTGTCTCAGTCTTCCCAGTGCTCAGATTATAGGCATATACTACCATTCGCAGTTACTAACTTAAAAAAAATAGTAGGGGGATAGAGATCTTTTCACAGTTAAGAGTATTTGTTGCTCTTGTAAATGACTACAGTTTGGTTCCCAGCACCCACACTGGTATGGTTCACAACTGCCTAACTCCTTCTGGTCTCCATGGACACCACGTACTTTGTACAGATGCACACGTGTACACACACACAGTAAAATAAAATTTCAAAATAAATAACCGTTTTGTAATAAGCAAAGATACAAGGAAGAAAAAAGGTGAGCCACCCTATCCAGTGGCTGAACACAGGATGGGGTTGAAACTCTTGACAGCACAGCATTCACCTCTGCCAGACCCACTGACTCTACAGAACATCTCCAGAGAAGTCCATAACAATTCAAACAAACACCCAGGAGTCAGAGACTTGGAGTTGAAGCTTTATTATCTTCTTTGCTATAAAATTTGGAAAAATATAACTGAGGCTGGGGAGAAAGGCCAGTCAGTGAAGTGCTTGCCTTGCAAGTGCCAGAACCTGAGTGTAATCAGCAGAACCCATGCAAAGGGAAGGCTGACGGGAGGAGCCCTGGAGCTGTCACCAGCCAGCCCCAATTAACTGTTCAACTCCAGGCAGATGAGAGGTCCTGTCGCACAGGTGGATGGTATTCCTGAGGATGAGAGAAAAAGCTGCCCTTCGGCTGGTGCACACACGCAAGTGCGGAGTTTAAAAATAGTAACTCAGGCCGGGCGATGGTGGCGCACGCCTTTAATCCCAGCACTCGGGAGGCAGAGGCAGGCGGATCTCCGTGAGTTCGAGACCAGCCTGGTCTACAGAGCTAGTGCCAGGACAGGCTCCAAAGCCACAGAGAAACCCTGTCTCGAAAAACCAAAAAAAAAAAAAAAAAAAGTAACTCAGCAGCGCTGGAGAATCTCCATAGTTGATTAGGACCAGAGCCTTCACTATTCCTCTGACACACCAGGGCCTCTGCAGAAGGGCAGCAGCTATACACAGGAACACTGCTTCTTTCCGCCACCTAATTATAGGTGTGCTCTACCATGCCCAGTTTACATGGTGCTAGGGATCACGTCTGGGGCTTTGTTCATGCTAAGCACATACTCTGTCATCTGCACTACATCCACAGCCCCACAGCTGCACTTCCTGCAAGAGTCTATATAGGCTAGCCTTGCTAGCACAGGCCTGTAATTCTAGCCACCCAGTAGGCTAAGATAACAGGATCACAAGTTCAAGACCAGTGTGGGCAACTTAGTGATACAGGACTGGAGATAAAGCTTGGTGGTCTCTACAGACTTTGCTTAGGAAAGCCTTAGGCTCGGTCCCAACACACACACACACACACACACACACACACACACACACACACACACACAAGTCAAAGTTGGGCTGTAGACAAAGCCTGTCACAAGGACACTTGAGCATAACCCTAGTGTGGCTTCAAGGCAGTGAATAACTTTGTTTTACTAAGATAATGATCAAAGATAAGATGATGTAAGTTGGGGCTGGAGAGATGGCTCAGAGGTTAAGAGCATTGCCTGTTCTTCCAAAGGTCCTGAGTTCAATTCCCAGCAACCACATGGTGGCTCACAACCATCTATAATAGGGTCTGGTGCCCTCTTCTGGCCTGCAGGCATATACACAGACAGAATATTGTATACATAATAAAAAAAAAAAAAGATGATGTAAGTCATCCCAGCCCCGTTTTTCAGACATAAAGGTACTCCAGAGCCAGGTGTGGTGGCTCACATCTGTAATCAGCACACAGAGCCAGAGGCAGGAAGTTCAAGTCCTGTATGTTCTGCATAACTAGGGCTTTACAATGAGACCCTGGTTTTGTTTAAAAAAAAACAAAAACCCTTATGCTCAGACTTCCAGATGTTGTCTGTTTCCTAGTTGGGCTATAATCTGAGTATGGTTTTAGTTTGTGGCTTTTGGTTTTGTTTTCTAACCTCAAACTCCAAATCCTCCTGAATAGTCTCCCTCGTGTTGACCTTTAGAGAAGGCTGGCCTCGAACTCACTAGGCAGGTGCCGGGTGGTGGCGTATGCCTGTAACCCCAGCACTTGGGAGGCAGAGGCAGGCAGAACTCTGACATAGTATTGTTAAATAAATATTTCAAAATTCCAGTTGTACTATATCTAGTACTTATACTTCCTTTTTTAGTGCCAGAGACTGAACTCAAAGACCTCACACATGCTAAGCACATGTTCTACCACTGAGCTACTTACCCCCTAGCCCAACATAGATATAACTTTTTTAAAAAATATTTATTTATTATATATACAATATTCTGTGTGTATGTCTGCAGGCCATAAGAGGGCTCCAGACGTCATTACAGATGGTTGTGAGTCACCATGTGGTTGCTGGGACTTGAAATCAGGACCTTTGGAAGAGCAGGCAATGCTCTTAACCACTGAGCCATTTCTCCAGCCCCCCATAGATGTAACTTTGAATCTTTATATAATATTATATTGTAAACGTCTTATGATATAAAATGTTCTTTTGTTTGTTGGTTGGTTTTGTTGAGGCCAAGTCTCACTATGTAGCTCAGCTGGCCTGGAACTCCATATGTAGACCAAGTAACCTGAAACCCTCAGCAATCCTCCCACCTCTGCCTTCCAAGGGCTGGGGTTTCAGGTGTGCGTCACCATAGCCAGCTGACAGAGTATTTTCAGAAAGACAACTTTTTTTATAGTGACTGTTAGGGCTTTTCCATGCAATATCAAGAGCCATACTTTTGCCTGCCCACGCCCAAACTTTTATTATTACTCTGAGATTCCTGGCAACCCCCTTCATGATAACCATGTGAAATTTCAAAGACAATAAACCAAGGAAAACTCTAAGCTTTCTTGCTTGAAACACAGATGCCCTTGTTACAAAATTCACTTTTATACTGATGAAAAACAGACTATTTATCATGAATCTTTCTCTTCTTAAATGCCTTTACTATGTGTCCTACAATCCTGCTGACTTCTTGTGCTTAGTTACAGTGTATGGCTATGACTATCTTTATTTGTATTTCATGGTCTCAACTAGAACCAGAAACAGCAGGAAAGGCTCAAATCTGTCCGGTTCTGCTTTTCCTTGTGAACTGCAGGAGCGCAAAGGGCACCACCAGGGGTCAGTGCAGAGCCACCCTCACAGGCGCCTCACCAGACAGAACAGCAGACAGGGCCTGGGGCTGGGAAAAGAAAACTGGTTCCACAACAATCCAGATTAACAAACAAATGCTTCTAGACTGGCTGAGGCCCGTTCCTACGAGTCCCTTTAAGAACAGCATCCCTCATTCAGATCTCAGCTGAGAAATGATCACATTCCTTCAGCTTAGTTTATATTCAACATTTCTAAACCAGGGCTATTTTATATACAAGCACTTGCATATCTTGCATATCAACATAAGATGTCACATTGGACCCGTTCTTTCTCGTTTGGTACAAGATAACTTGAGGGCTTTGTTTTTTCATGATGTTTATTTTCATTTTTTATTATTTATATGTGTGTGTCTATGTGAGTGTATGCCATGTATATATAAGTGCCCTAGTTCAGAAAAAAAATGAGAGCCATCTCTTTAGCCCTAGGTGTGAGATAACATACATAAAGTAACTCTTTTATTCAAATCTTTTTTGTGCATGTTTGTGTGCACATGGGTGTATATAATATGCCAGTATCCTTGTGTGTATGTTTGGGCACATGTGCCATGGCTCGTGTGTGGAGAGGGTGTCAGTGTTCAGCTTCCACCTTGTTTGAGAGAGGGTCTCTTCTTTGCTGGCTCACGAGCTTCAGGGGATTCTCCTGTCTTAGCCTCCACCTTCCCATAGGTACACTGCAATTACACACACACACACACACACACACACACACACACACACACACACTGCTCTATGTAGGCTTCACATGACTTCTGAGGATTTGAACTCTGATCCTCACATTTACGTGGCAAACACTTTATTTACTAAGCCACTCCCCTCAGCCCTTGTTCTATTTTATTGGTTTGTTGTAAAATCAAATAACATATTTTATCAATTATAAAGCAGTTTATCAACATCAAGTTATCCCATTCTGGTGATGTCCTAATTCAGATACTTAGGTGATTTGTCCCCAGCAAAACTAAAAAAATCCTGGTTAGAGGCAAAAATTGGGAGCTTGGGGGTGGGGGTAGGGTGGGGGTAAGGGGAGATGGGGAGAGAGAAGTGAGAAGGGGAGGATGGGGAGAGCTTGGGGGAATCCTTGGGATGGAGGAAGGGTGGATATGGGAGCAGGGAAGTATATATCTTAATTAAGGGAGCCATTTTAGGGTTGGCAAGAGACTTGACTCTAGAGGGGTTCCCAGGTGTCCAAGGAGATGTCCCCAGCTTGTTCCTTGGGCAGCTGAGGAGAGGGCACCTGAAATGGCCCTATCCTATAGCCACACTGATGAATATCTTGCATATCACCATAGAACCTTCATCTGGCGATGGATGGAGATAGAGACAGAGACCCACATTGGAGCACTGGACTGAGCTCCCAAGGTCCAAATGAGGAACAGAAGGAGGGAGAACATGAGCAAGGAAGTCAGGACCGCGAGGGATGTGCCCACCCACTGAGACGGTGGGGCTGATCTAATGGGAGCTCACCAAGGCCAGCTGAATTGGGATTGATGGAGCATGTGATCAAACCGGACTCTGAATGTGGCTGACAATGAGGGCTAACTGAGAAGCCAAGGACAATGGCACTGGGTTTTGATCCTACTGCATGTACTGGCTTTGTGGGAGCCTAGTCTGTTTGGGTGCTCACCTTCCTAGACCTGGATGGAGAGGGGAGGACCTTGGACTTCCCACAGGGCAGGGAACCCTGAATGCTCTTTGGACTGGAGAGGGAGGGGAGAGGGGGCGTAGGGGAAGAGGGAGTTACACGGGAGGAGGGAAGGAGGTGGAAATTTTTAATTAAAAAAAAAGAAAGAAAACATATCTGAAAAAAAAAATCCTGGTTAGTACTATGTCTTTGATATGAGGCATAAGGGCATGCACTTTGGTATGATCTTGGGCTGTTCTGATTTTTGTTTTGTTTTTCCCTCCCTGGCTTTCCAGTTGTCCTTTCCCAGAAGCTAAAGTATCTTTCACAGCATTAGGTCCTTTCCACAGTCATTTACTTAAGGCTCCTTCAGAAAAAGTCACTTGAGCTCAGAACTGACTTGAACAACTTATAAGTTGGTAGATACATTCCAGACTGACTATGCTTAATACACTGCAGCACAGCAGTCAGCACTGCTAGACCTTCTAAACCCTGAAGTGACTGCTAAGAGCCAAAGGCACAAACGGCCAGGCTCTGGCTCAGCCATTGCTCTTCCTTTTGTCCGTTTCCCTCTGGTTATTGCTGCTCCTATTGTCTGGCACCACTGGAAAGAGCTAAAAATGGCCTTCTGAGGTCCTCAAGCTTTCAAACCGAGGTTAGTACAAGCCTTTCAGGAGAACAACCCCATCTGCTGATAGCTCCATTGTTATCAATATCAGAGCACACAGGGGTCGGTCAAAGTAGGTCCTGAGGAGGCCCCTTCCCTGACACCTGACTTCCTATGGCACTAAAGTCATAATCAGCCAGAAAAGGGAACAGAAACCACATGAAGAAAAAAAGATGAACATAATCCACACTCCCCTGGGACAGCTCCATGGGTACAGCCCATGGAGTGTCTTTCCTTTGAGGTTCGACATCTCAGAGTAAGATCTAAGCATCACTTGAACAGCCTGATCTCTGGAAAAGCACAATTCTTGTAAAGAACAATGTTCAAGAAATACTAGCTGCATGAGCGAGTAAAAAGGTGAGGTCATTAGGTCAGCATTCAGCCACACAGAACAGTCACATTTCTATTGCAAAAAGCAAAGCAAAGCAAACAAAAAGACAATCTTAATATTAAAGTATAGAAATAAGCATATGGGCCTGAACATTAGTCCAGAAACTCAAAACCTAGACACAAACTGGGGACAACTCAAGAGTCATACCAGCAATGCAGCATCCAAGAATAACCAATCACAGCTGTTATTACTGATAATCACTTCCCACTCTATAGTACCACAAGACACTTAAAATCTTGACAAGGGCCAGTCACCTGAGATGAGAGTCAGACCAGTTGGCTAGTCTCACCTTGTATCCCAGATGGGCCCTGTGACACCAACAGAGCTAAGAGTTCTTTTCTCTTAGGGCTGTAAGCTATAGTATCAGGTCTCTGATAGGTGCCCATGTGTTGCAGCCTCCAATTTTCTGCATAGGCTCATGCAACCTAGCAAAGAGCCTGGAGACATGCATAGTCTGGTTATTCGATATTGTCATAAACATGAATCACGTCCTCATAGTTGCTGAGAGCCTGGATGAGGTGAACAGCCTGCTCCAGGTCAGGCTCAGCCAGCTGCACCTTTAGGTTGGGGATGAATTCCAGGGAACAGGACACAGAACACAGGCCCAGGGAGTCCAATTTCTTTCTCACTTCATGCAATGAAGAGGCATCACAAATAAACTAGGGATAAAACAAAGTCAGGAGGTGAGAAGTCAGGAAATTAATGCCACATGCCAGACAGAACTTGCGAAGTCCTGAGTGGAGCAACCTGTACTATATTATCATTGGTTTAAGCTCTAGATTCCAATGTTCCGAATCCTTCTCATCAACTCAGAAGAATAGATCCTATCCTCCATTATCATCTTAATAACACTGTGCAACTTGTGAATTTTTGCTTTGCCTATATCCTGAGACACAGGAAGGAAGAAGCCCAGAAGTAAACTTTAAGGTATCTACTGGGGACTCTTGGAAGCCCATCAAACACAAAGGCTTCAGGGTGTCAGGCTTGGAAGCAAGCTGAGCCATCTTACCGGCCTCCATACTCACTTTAAAAAGGTTCTTTTCTTCTTCGTCCTCAGCTTCCTTCACATCCTCAGCTCCTGCTTCGATTGCCAGCTCCAGGGCGCGCTCCAGGTTCACAGCTTTCTTCTCTCTGTCCTCCACTCCAACCACAACCACTCCTTTCTTGTCAAAGAAATGGCGCGCTCCCTCGGCCATCACTCCCCTGACAGGAAAGGGACCCGGCAAGGCATGGAGGAGTTTAGAAGCTCAATCACCACTAAGTGCTGCATTCTAACCCCACCCTTTACCCCTGGGCCCCTGTAGCACCCGGGGACACCCAGCAACTCTCTTCCCGAGGAAGATGCTGCTGATGCAGGGTAACAGGACTGTCCGAGAACATCCCCATCTTCTATTTTCTTTTTTTTTTTTTAATTTTATTTTTTTGGTTTTTCGAGACAGGGTTTCTCTGTGGCTTTGGAGCCTGTCCTGGAACTAGCTCTGTAGACCAGGCTGGTCTCGAACTCACAGAGATCCGCCTGCCTCTGCCTCCTGAGTGCTGGGATTAAAGGCGTGCGCCACCATCACCCGGCCTTTTTTTTTTTTTTTTTTTTTGCAGGATTCAGTTTTGCTCATTGTTTCCTATTCCATTAAAATTCCTGTCCTGGTAGAATGCTTTAAGACTGGGACATCATATGGCTACAGGTGAAATAATGAGGAAAAAAACCTCATTTATACCTATAGGATCCTATCTCATTCAGAAGACATTAAGGGAAAACCAGTTCTTACATTGGATTCCACTAAGGAAGAAGCATGCTTACAACCTGAAATACTGCTGAGGACCAACAGCATTTGCATTGCATGGAATTGGAGTCTCAACGTTCTGTCCACTTCCTCCTTATATACGCACACTTACCCATTCTTGTTCAGGATATATTTAATGTCCAAATGGCACTTGGGACCACTGTTTGATAATGCCTCAATCAGCAGAGAAGAGCCACCAGGACCTCGACACTCGTACAGCAAATGAATGCCCTTGTTTTTCTGTGATTTAAAAAAAAAAAAAGAATCCATTGTCCTGTTTTTTAATGTCCCGATGCCCTCATGAGAGCACCAAACCACAGACTAAAACAGTAGCTCCATGTATGATCTCTCAAGAATTACTTGAGCTTGGCCTCTCAAGTCTTTACATTTGTTTCTGTCTTCTGAGGGGAGGCCAACGGTATCAACTTCTGACATCACTGGAAATACTATTCCTTCTAAAAGGGAGTTTGTTTCCCCAGTTCCTGAACAGCTTTTCCCAGCTTTGCCTCCTCCCTCCCTAACCAGATCCACTCCCCTGCCCATAGTCACTGCCACCTTCGATTACCTTCCTGCATTCCATTCCATGGGAAACCTACTTAGGAATCCTCAATGCCCTGAGCCCTGGGCTGCTGGGCTCTGCTATAGAAACATCACGTATGCAGAACTTGTCGTGGCAGCTACTGAAAAGCACCGTGTCCTGCACCTTTCCTTTTCCTCCCCTCCACTCTCACAGATGCAATTCAAGCTCCCTGTTGAGCTCTGGGGTCTGGATCTGTCACTTTCTGCATGATCTAAATCCAAGTCACTAAATCTTTCTGTGCCTTAGAATCCATCTTAGGTCACTTTTGGGATTCACTGAGGTCTTGCATGTAGAGTTTTTATTAAAGGACTTGGTCAGGAACCAGAACCGATAACTGCCAGTTATTATATGACTATTCTGGGGAGTGAAGAGACACCTTTGTAGGCTCAGTCCTTGTGAGGCTGAGGCAGGAGGATCATGAGTTCCATGCTAGCCTGAGCTACACAAAAATACCCTGTTTCAAAATAAAACAACAAAAATATGATTATTAACCTTTCAAATCCTTACCTGTTCCAGAGGAAGATGTGCTGGAGCCCAACATCCCTCCCATTCCCACCATTACCATCACCCTTAACCTCTCTTTTTACTGGCTTTTCTCCTTTAGATATAAATATCTGGAAAGAAAAACAAGCTTTCTCCAACCTTATGTTAGGGTTTCCCCTCATCTTACCTGCCCTTTCTAGCCCATCTTCTCCAAGCTTGCCAAAGCAGCTCTACCCCCTATGGGTTTCCATACTGTCTACGTAGCCTTCACCCAGTCATGCTCCTCTAACCAAAGGCCAAGGAGACAGAACCCCCAAAGGTCTCTGGGCTGCAAGGTCAACCATGTTCCTACCCTTCCTTCTCTCTGATAATTTAAGGAGTTTTCGGTGGCTTTCCAAACAGGGACCTCTGAGGGCTGTGGGCAATAGCAACAACATGAAACTGAGGACACACCTCTGTTTTCAGTGCTGATTCAATGGTTGACTTGGGCATATGCTTGCTTCGACACACCTCTAAGATGTTGGCCAGGTGGCTGTTGTTCTCAGGGTTGGGGCCTCCCTCTGGATAAAGGGAAAAGAATGATCAAAGACATCTCATCCTAGTATAGAGAAATAAGGCTTTCCATCCTCTCCAACCCCAAAACAATGGCAGACTACTCTCCATTAGAATACGCTATCTGCCAGGCAGTGGTGGTGCACACTTTTAATCCCAGCACTTGGGAGGCAGAGGTAGGTGGATCTGAGTTCAAGGCCAGCCTGGTCTACCAGAGCTAGTTCCAGGACAGGCTCCAAAGCTACAGAGAAACCTTGTCTCAAAAAACAAACAAAAAAAGAATATGCTATCTAATGAAGACGGTTCAGTGTGTAATATGCTTGCCTTCCAAGCAAAGGATCTGAATTTGATCCTAGATCCCACATATAAGAAAAAAACAGCACCAGCTTCTAATCCCAGAACCAGGCAGGCAGAAACAGATCCTGGTACTCTCTATGGCCAGCCAGCCTACATATTTGGTGAACTCTAGGCCATTAAGAGCCCTGAATCAAAAAAAAAAAAAAAAAAAAAAAAAATGAGCCAGAGAAATGGTGGCAAAAGTGCTTACTGCAGAGGCCTAGCAGCATGGGCCCATCCCTAGAGTCCACACAAACGAAGGCACAAACCAGCTCCAGAGAGTTGACCTCTGCCTTCCATGTGTGTGCTATGACACACACACACACACACACACACACACAGAAGGTGGACAGTGGCTGAGGACAATCCAAGGTTATCCTCTGATCTCTACATGTCTGTATAAATACAATCACTCACACACAGACACAGAGAGAGAGAGAGAGAGAGAGAGAGAGAGAGAGAGAGAGAGAGAGAGAGAGAGACAGAGAGACAGAAACAGACACAGAGAGAGACAGAGACTAAGAGAGAGAGAGAGAGAGAGAGAGAGAGAGAGAGAGACAGACTATTTCAACTAGGAGAGAGAGAGAGAGAGAGAGAGAGAGAGAGAGAGAGACAGACTATTTCATCTAGATAAGCATAATGGTGCACACCTGCAATCCCAGCACACAGTAGGCTTAGGCAGGAGCCTGAACTACATAATGAATTCTGGATCAGTCTCAGCTAAGAGTGAGATTCTGGCCAGGTGGTGGCGGCGCACGCCTTTAATCCTAGCACTCAGGAGGCAGAGGCAGGTGGATCTCTGTGTGTTTGAGGCCAGCCTGGTCTACAGAGTGAGTTCCAGGATAGTAAGGGCTGTTATACAGAGAAACCCTGTCTTGAAAAACCAAAAGGAAGAAAAAAGAAAGGAAGGAAGAAAGAGAGAGAGAGATTCTGTCTCAAACAAACAAAATCTCATTATTCCAATGGAATAAGGAGAATTATTTTGGAAAAGAAGTTTCTTTGGTGAGGGATACAGGAAACAGAACCCAAGGCCTTATCCATGCCAAATACTGTGCTTTACCACAGGGCTACATATCCAGCCTGGAAAAGAAGTTCCTGATTCACTCTGCCTTTAGGGATAGCTATCATTTTGCTAGGTTTCAGCAAACTCCACTTTTGTCAGATGAAGTGGCTGAATCATAACAACACCCTTGCTCTTGCTCTTTTAGTGTATAATCTCTGAGATGCTCACACGACACTGGTCTCGGGCTCAGGCTCTGGAGGGGCTATACTCCAACAACATGCTGGTTAAATCAAAACTTTGTTAGGAAAGGAAGCAAAGGGAAGCATCAGGCATGAGTTGTAGGGGTAAATTAACATCGACTTAATGCCTTCTGTATGCTGTAAGCCACCTCAAGGTGGGTATTATCCTTGCTTTACAGAAAATTGAAACTCAACTTGTTGAAGGCCTTTGAACTAACCTAGACACTAAAAGAATTCACATCTTCCTAATTCCGGATCCACACTTTTTCACAGGATTTCCCCCTAATACTACCAGTGCCTCAAACAAACAAAAGACAGTTGGACCACTGAGCAGATACATGGTTCCAAACCAACCTTCCAGGAAAATGTCTCAGGAGTTCTAGCGAGGGAAAGTGAAGCCTAGGCAAGAAATGACTTGACTCAGCATGTCTGCCACGACCTTCAGTGGTAGTAAAAGCAGCTGAAGGCTTGCTTTATTCCTTCAAGAAAGACACACAGCCGACTTTTGAAAAAAGATTTGTTTATGTGTTTACCTGCATGCACGACGCATGCGGTGCCCGTGGAGATCAGAAGAGGAGGTTGAGTACCCTGGAACTGGCCTTCAAGTGGTTGTTAGCGGCTATGTGGGTGCTGGGAACCAAACACTCACTGGTCCTAGGCAAGAGGAGCAGGTGCTCTTAAGCGCTGAGGCCTCTCTAAGCCCTGACTTGACTCTTAAGGTTTATAGCTCTTTAGTACCTACCTAACAAGAGCCTTGGATGGAGTCATTTCTCTCTTCCTAAGAAAGGTTTTTCTTCTCTGAAAGGTTTTTGGAAAGAAAAACAGAAATATTCAATGAAGGTGGGTGCTTTGAGAATCATGGGTAGGACAAGGATGGCAACTGGAAAACGCGAAGAAAATAATTGGCCCTAGTTCAGCTTGGGGAGGTGGGGGTCAAGTGAAGCCTTGGGCACCGAAAGGGCCTCTGTGATCAATTAGCAGTGAGGACTGTTAGGTTCTCACCTTTAACAGCCAGGCGGATACTGAGAGCGAGTTTAGAGAAGATTCGACTCCTTTCCATGTCCTTGGGGCCCTTGATGTGCCGGACTTTAGACCATTTATTGTGTCCGGCGGAGACCGCCGCGCTGACACGTAGCGTCCTGTGTGGAGCTGGACCGCAGCCGGGGGTTTCCTGCTGGAAGGCGCACCAAGGACCCACGCGGAACCCGAGGCATCGCTCACGAACGCATCGGGCAGCTGTCCTTGTCAGACTGACAGCAGCCCACGACATCATATGTTTCGACTAGGGGTTGCAGAGCGCAAAGAGGAGCGGTCAAGGTCAACCTGTCTAACCGGAACAAGCCGTTCTGGGAGTTCTGGCTGCTTCTGCGGGTCTTCAGAAACTCAAAGGCTCAGATCCACTTAAGTTGCACAGCCGTGAGTGACCGGCGACTGCCGGGTGTGGAGACCCTTATTGGCGAAGTACACTTCCTTTCCCTGGTCCGTTGCAAAACACGTCCCCGGCGCCCGCAAAGTCCGTTCCGGCGTCTCTTCGTACTCGTCCCAACCTTACCCCCTACTACTGGTGACCCAGACCTCAATTGCTTCCAGTTGCTTGGAGACGTCAGATTTCTTTCCAGTGGACTAGTAGAGATTCGTGACACTGATTTTCCGTCCTAACTCTAAGCAAGTCCAGAATAATAAATGTTTTTGCTGCTCAAAAAGAAATACGTACTTCAACCGGTTCATTTTACAGGGAAAGAAACTGCCACTAAGGGCGCCTATTTAAAAAAGGAAACAAGGAACAAAACAGACCTAAATGCCGGGCATGGTAGTCCGCCTGTAATTCCAGCACTTGGGAAACGAAGAGTCGTGACATCAAGACCTTGTCTCAAAACAAAACAAACAAACAAAAAAAAGTAATGTGTTTATTTAAAAAAAAAAAAATCCTAGTTATCAACCAAAGAAGTAATTTGCCCAGTCATTTAAGACTTTCTGGTTTAGATTTTTTGTTTGTTTGTTTATTATAGAGACACGGTTTCTCTGTGAAACCGTCCTGAGTGTCCTGGAAAGTGCTTTATAGACTAGGCTGGCCTGTAACTCACAGAGATCCATCTGCCTCTGCCTCCCAGAATTAAGGGAGTGCACAACCCACCAACCAGCTGTGATTTAGATTTTTATTTCTATAAACAAGGATGGTTTTGTCAGTTTTGCCAACCCATACTGGAGAATTGAAAACACAGCATAATCCCCTGGAGTCTGAATAAAAAAGGTATGCAAGTAGAAGCTGTAATCAAGACTGACCCTAGTAAATGGCTTGAGGACAGTCAGATGAATCGCAGGGGTTGTGGGAAAGATCAGACCAGCCTTTGAGTCAAACTGCTATCCTTGTTTTCCATCTGCTGTTTAAAAAATTATTTCAAAGCAGAGTGGTGATGCTGCATGCCTTTAATCCCAGCGCAAACAGAAGCTGGCAGATCTCCGTGAGTTCAAGGCCAGCCTGATCTACAGAGTGAGTTCTAGGACAGCCAGGGCTTCACAGAGAAGCCCTGTCTTGAAAAACAAACAAAAATTTAGATTGGATGGATTTAAACTGTGTTTCTGTCATTTACTTGTGCAACCTTGGGCAAGTTCCTTTACTTCCTGCTTCTTTCTGCGTACAGTGGCCTTGAGCAGGATGGTGAGGGGGAGCTCGGGAACAGATTTTATGTTACTACATAAGTATGTCCATGATTAGCCTGCTCGTCTTCCAGTCTCATGCTCTGTTGCTGCATCTCTATGGGAGGGCATCATGTTGGCTGCTAACTCATCATCCGGCCACAAGCACAGGCTGAGTACAAATTCTTTACCACTTTTGTTTCTCTTGAGTGGCCTTCATTGTCTCACTGGTGAAATCATTCTTCAAGACTCAGCTCTGGAGAGCTGGAGAGATGGCTCAGAAGTTAAGAGCATTGGCCGCTCCTCCAGAGGTCCTGAGTTCAATTCCCAGCAACCACATGGTGGCTGACAACCATCTATAATAAGATCTGGTGCCCTCTTCTGACATGGAGACATACATGTAAGCAAAGCACCATATACACAATAAATAAATATTTAAAAAAGACTTTAGCTCAAGGGGCTAGAGAGATGGTTCAGCATTTAAGAGCACTGGCTGCTCTGGTGGAGGCCCCAGGTGTGATTCCCAGCACCAATCTGGTGGCTCACAGCTTCTGCAACTCCCATTCCAGGAGATCCGGTGCAGTCTTCTCACCTCTGCAGGCTCTGCACACACATGCACAGGCATGCATGCAGGCAAACACTCACAAAAGTCTTTAAAAAGACTTGAAGGCGTACTGCAAGACTTCCCTGAGGTGCCAGCTGAACTGAGTCTTTTAAAAAATTATTTTTATTTTATTGTGTGGGTGTTTACAAGTGCTTTTAATGGCTGGGCCATTTCTAAAGTCCTCTCCTTCAAATTCTTAATTGTAATAGTTATTCTTGTCATGAAGTAGGTTCTGGGAACTCATATCCAGGGCTTCCAGCATACGAGGCAAGCACTCCACCACCAAGCTATTGCCTTTTTCTTTTTCTTTTTGAGGCATGGCTCACCCTGGAGGCCAAGCCTAGTTTTGAGTTCATAATGATCTTCCTGCAACATTTATTTCTGTCCCTATGTGTATGCTTCTGTTGAACATATCATATGGATGAAAGTCTATAACATGTGGTCCTTGTGAATGATTTCCTTTTTTAAAAAATATTTATTTATTATGTATGCTGTGTTCTGTTTGCATGTATGCCTGCAGGCCAGAAGAGAACACCAGATCTCATTACAGATGGTTGTGAGCCACCATGTGGTTGCTGGGAATTGAACTCAGGACCTCTGGAAGAGCAGCCAGTGCTCTTAACCGCTGAGCCATCTCTCCAGCCCCCGCGAATGATTTCTTTCATTTAGCATACGTCCCAGTGTAGCGGTTTGAATGAGATTGGTCCCCATCGTTTCTTATGTTTGGATTCTTGATCCCCCATTGGTGGAACCGTTAGGAAGGATTAAGTGGTGACCTTTGGCGGGGAGGTGTGTCACTAAGGGTGGGCTTTGAGGTTTCAAAAGCCCAGACCATTCCAGTTGGTTCTCTGTCTCCAACTTGCAGATGAGGATGGGTAAAAGCTATTAGCTGCCGCTCCAGTGGCTGCCTGCTTGCCGCCGTGCTCCCCACCGCGATGACCACGAACTCTAACCCGCTGGAACCATGAGCACCAGTAAACGTTTTTCTTTCTCAGCTTCCTTGGTCATGATGTCTCCTCATGGGAAAAATAACTAAGTCAACTTTTGTCAACAGCCTGTCGTCATGAGAGAGGAGGTACTCAACCGAGGAATTACCAAATGAGATCGGAATGTGGACATGTCTCTCTGTGTGAACCTTATTTAGACAGGACAGTCCAGGCCACTGTGAGCAGCACCCTCCCTAGGCAGGTGGCCCTGAGCTACCAAGAAAGCTAGTAGCTAAGTGCTGGAGAGATGGCTGGTAGTTAAGAGCACTGGCTGGTCGTCCAGAGCACCTAGGTCTGATTCTCAGCACTCATGGGATGGCTCACAACCATCTACAACTCCAGTCTAGGGGATCTGGTGCCCTCTTCTGGCTTCCACAGGCATACACAGACCGACTCAGGCAAAACACCCAGACTTTTTTAAAAGTATTTTTACTTTTTATTTTGATTCTATGTGCATTGGTGTTTTGCCTACATGCATGTTCAGTGAGGGTGTCAAATCACTTGGAGCTGGATTACAGATAGTTGTGAGCTGCCATGCGGGTGCTGGAAATTGAACCTGGGTCCTCTGGAAGAAAAGCCAGTGCTCTTAACCCCTGAGCTGTCTCTCCAGCCCTGTGACACATTTTTTAAAAAACGGAAAAAAAAAAAAAAAAGGTAGCTAAGCATGAGTCTCTCTCTCTCTCTCTCTCTCTCTCTCTCTCTCTCTCTCTCTCTCTCTCTCTCTCTCTCTCTCTGCCCTGTGTGTGAGAGAAAGAGGAAGAGAGAGAGAGAGAGACAGTGAGCACATGCACACCGCTCACTTTTTGAGTGAGATTGTTTTAAGCTTCTGTTTGGTTCCTGTCTTGATCTCAGTGATGGATCATGACCTGGAAGTGTAAACCAAATGAATCTTTTACCATCCTAAGTTATTTTCGTTCATGGTGTTTATCATAACAACAGAAAGGGAACTAGAACAGAACAGCGTGTCTTCAGGGTTCAGTTGGCTGTAGCATTTATCAGTATTTCCTTCTATCGCCGAACAATATTCCATTGAATGAATATTTTACTTGCGCATTCCTTAGCTGGCAGGTGTGTTTCTCTCTTATATTATGAATAGTGATGCCTGAGCTGTTTTCTCCTTTTTCTTTCTTCCTTCTTTTTCTTTTCTTTTTCCCTCTCTTTTTATTTATGTATTTTTGAGATAGGGTTGTTTTTTTGTGTAGTTCTGGCTGTCCAGAACTCACTCTGTAGATCAGGCTGGCCTTGAACTCAAAGATCTGCCTGCCTATGCTTCCTGAGTGCTGGAATTAAAGATGTGTGCCACCATCACCTGGCTAGGAACCCTGTTTTTATTTCTCTTGCATATATGCTATGGAGCGGAAATTTTGTGATGCTTAACCTTCTGAGGGACAGCCAGATTTAAAATAGTTGCATAAATTTACATCTCACCCTCAATGTTAAGAGGGTTCAGTTTCTCCACAGTCACTAAATATTTCTGTCTATAGCTATAGCCGTTCTGGGAGTGTTTCATGGTGGGGTTTAACTTTGTTATTTTTGTTGTCTTCAGACAGGTACTCCCTCTGTAGCTCTGGCTGGCCTGGAACTCACTGTGTAGACCAGGCTGACTTCAAACTCACAGAAATCTGCCTGTCTTTGCCATCAGAGTACTGGGACTAAAGGTATGTGCCACTATGCCCAGCATCCCATGGTTTTAATTGTATTTCATAAGTTGAGCATCTTCTCTTCTCATGTGCTTATTATTTTCCATGAGTTTTTTTTTGTTTGTTTGTTTGTTTTTTTGTTTTTTTGAGACAAGTTTGAGCCCCAGGCTGGCCTCAAACTCACCTAGCTGAGACTGGTCTTCTTGCTAAGGCCTCCTGGATACTAGCATTACATTTGTGTGCCGTCACATCCAGAACATTTTAAAATTTATTTTTGTATAGTAATTTTGTATATTAGAGTTTTGCTTACATCAATGTATGTGTATTACATTCATGTCTTGTGCCTGAAGAAGCTAGAAGAGAGTGTCAGATCCTCTGGAACTGAAGCTATCGGTGGTTGTGAGCTCATGAACCAAACCCAGGTCCTCTGCAAGATTAGCAAATGCTTTTAACAGGTGAGCCAGCCTCCTCCCGGTGTGTGTGTGTGGGTGTGTGTGTTTCTGTATGGGTCTCTGTGTGCAGGCACTCATGAAAGTCAAAAGATGGCACTGAACTCCCTGGAACTGGAATCATGGGCAGCTGTAAGCTTGATGTGGGTGCTGGGAACTCCGGGTGCTCTTAACTGCTTTTTCTCCAGTGCCACTGGTTTGTATAACTTAAAAATGCAGCTTCTATTTCTCAAGACAGGGACTCTCGACCAGACTGGCCTCCAACTCCCAAGTGGTGCTGAAGACTAAATTTAGGGCTTTCTGCATGAGAAACGAGCACACTACCAACTAAGCTACATCCACAGTGCAAGCTTATGCTATTCAGTAGCAAAAAAAAAAAAAAAAAAAAAAAAGAATCAATGCAACAATCACAAGTAAGTAAAGAAACCAAAACAAGGTTTGCAGTTGCCTGGGCAGATGATCAAGCTCTCCATAGTCAGGCTGCTGAGATTCCTAGTCTCGCTCTCCTAGGGTTAGCTTTCAAAATAAGGCAGAATCAAGTTTCTCTCACAAATGGGTATATGGGGTGTGAGAGCTCACACATGTAATACAAACACTTGGGAGCCGAAGTAGGAAGATTACTACAGGCCTGAGGCTGGTCTGGGCTAAACAGTGAGTTTCAGGTCAGCCTGAGCTACAAGATCCTGTCTCAAAAGCAAAAACAGCAAAAGCAAACTCGGCCACTCAGAGACTCTTTTGTTTCTGCTTATCTTCTGCAAGCTAAGCACAGCGGGATGCAAACAGAGCCACAGAGGCTAAGACAGCTCAAAGTCAGCCTGGGCTACAGACTGAGTACCAAACATCAGTACATGGACCCAGTCTCAAAAAAGGGGTGCTGGGGAAATAGTTCAGTTGGTAGAGTGCTTGCCTACTCTGTTGGTTTATTTTTTTTTTTTCCCTTGGTTTTTTGTTCTCTGTGTAACAGCCCTAGCTGTTCTGGAACTAGCTCTGTAGACCAGGCTGGCCTCAAACTCACCGAGATTTGACTGCTTCTGCTCCCAAGATTAAAGGCATGCACCACCACCACCCGGCACGATATCTTGGTTATCCACTGGATTTGGTCTAGAATTGTCTAACACGCATGCTTCTGTGAGGGCATTCCTAGGAAGTAACCGAGGGAGGAGCAATGCTCTTTGCTGCCCTTCCTTCCCTCCTGGCTGGCAAGTGCACCTACTCTGCTGCTGTTGCTGCCCAGTCCTGACACTGAAGCACAGCAGTGCTCCAGCGATTGTCAAGGCTCTCAGTGCCAGGATAGGACTGCTGAGGCAGGCAGCCCCGTGAACGGAGTGGTGCTGGATTCAGCTTCTCTAGCGAGCAGATGGCTATTCTTGGCCTCCCCAGACCTTAGTGTGTGAGCCAGTCTAATCAACCTCTTTTTATCAGATGCATCCTATCGGTTCTTCTTCTCTATAGAACCCCAACATATCTGCCATGCACAAGTTCCTGGGTGATCCCCAGCATTACCTAAACTGGGCATGGTGGTGCACACCTGTTATCCCAGCACCTTGGAGGCAGAGGCAAGAGGACACAGAATTCTATGTTATCCTTGGCTACACAGTAAGTTCAAGGCTAGCCCCAGTTACAGAGCCCCTGTCTCAAGAAAGTAAATTAAAAAAGCAAGTCAGACCCTGAGTCACCTGGGTGTTTTCCAAAGTATCACACAGTTAAGATCCAGGTTTGTGAAGGACAGGATCCCCCTGATCTGGCGCTGCTTTCCTCTCCAGTCACTCCTGGCAATCTCCACACACATATACTGACAGCTAATTATCTAAATATGACCATACTTCCTTATTTATATAAATTTGCATGTGGCTATTCTCTTTGCCTTAAGTGGCATTCCCTATTCCCAAACAACTCCTACTTAAAGTCTTCAAAACCCCAATCAGACATTCTTCATCTGGTGACATCAGTAGATGTCTACATCTTGCTCCATTCTGGCTCTCACCCTGACAGGAGTGGCCTCAGGCAGGGATCCTAAACACAGCCCCATTACTGCAGAACACTACCAATATGTGGATGTCTCTCTGAGAAAATACAAGCAAGCTGAGGGTCATGGCCCTTGGCATGGAGTAGGCAGCCACGTTTTCTTAGCTAAGAAGTGAGAGAACAGAGGAGATACAAGGTAGAGTTGGGCCATCCGCACTCTGCTGAGCAAGGTGGAGTCGAATGCCCTTCCAATTCCTCTGAAATATGACCACAAGAACTGGGAAGAACTGAATTCATCACAACAAGAAATTCAATCTATACATGTTCAAGTTTTATTACAAAGTATGATGGGCAGAAAATACGGTACTTCTTATACAGGAGGCTGAGACAGAACGCAGAGACTTAATGTACGAGGAAGAAGTAAAGTCACAGAAAGAACACTCCACTCTCGGCTGCGTTTCAAGTCGCCTCCAGTGAAGAATCCTAAGCTCGTTCACAGCACAGTGTTAAAATTTTATTACAAGCCCTGTGTACAATCAGCCCTATGAAAATAATATTTACAGAGGAGAAATGGTTACAGTACAGTTCTGCAAAGGGGCAGCTTCCTCTCCACCTCAACAAGGGATGCCACAAAAGCTGTACAACAGAAGGGAAGTTTAAATATGTAAGAAAGCACGTTCACACACGAGGCCAAAGGGCACAGAAGTGATCAGTTAGAGCTTAACACTTTGTAGAACAAGAACTCTCCATTGTCTGCACAGAGCTTTGTACAATCATGCTGTAATTCACACGCAGGGCAGGGCAAGGGGGGGTCGCTGACGGAGGGGGACCAAAGCAAGTGACTCATTTGACTAAAGCAATTCAAAGCTTCAGGTCAACAGTTTTCCTAACACATTGTCTATCACAATCAGCTCAATGGGAGAACATTTCTTTCAAATAGTAGATCGCACACAGTTCAGCATCACTGACCCCAAAGGTGGTGCTCGTACATTTTCCAGCTGTCACACAGACTGTCAACATCTTTCTTCTGGAGTTCAAACTTCCCTTAGCTTTTTGTTTCTGGTTGACACATTAGTTCAAGCCTCCTGGAGAAGGCAGCTGCATGTTTCCATATTTAAAAAGTGACATCCAGATAGCAGCCCAAGACGCTTGCCCATCCAATAATGCCTCATGCTTGACTCTGGCCATTAGAGCAATGACAGTATGGGAGGAAGAGAGAACGCAGTTGGGTGAGGTGAACAAGCTCTGAGACATGAGACACACAGCTGCGGCCTCCCCAGAGCAGAGAGGACAGTTCTGGGAAAGCCTAGCTCAGGGTTCATGGTGACACTGCTCAGGTCAGTTCTCCTCTCAGAAAAGCAACCTAAATGCCAAGCAGGCCCCACCTACCTCATGCTGAGCACAGGCTCTACAGGAAACACGTGCTTTGAGGTCTCTATTGCAATGGTAGTGTCTATCCTAAGCCAGGTGATTAAATGAACTGCCATATTTTCAAAATGGGGAAATTAGGCAGTTCTGGACTGCTCAGCCATGTCTGGTAAACTCCAGCGTCCTACATGTCCTTACAGTCTAGGAATCTAGGGCCCAGGACACATCAGGAAGAAGGGAGAACATTCTACAGAGGAAAGGGAATAGGATAGGAAAAGAAAAACAAAAGAGGAAGAGCTAGAGGGTAGTTCCATGGTAGAACACTTGCCTAGCATGTGTAAGGGCCTACGTCGGATCCCCATCAACACACACACACACACACACACACACACCATGAAAAATTAAAACTAAAGGGAAGATAAGGGAAGAGGGGGATCTACAAGAAGAACCATGGATGCTGGGGATAGTGGCACATGCCTGTGATCCCAGCACTCAAGGAGATTAAAGTAAGAAGATCTCAAGTTCAAGGGCAGTCTGGACTACAACACAAGGCCCTGTCTCAGACAAAATAAAACAAAACAGCATCATCATGTTCTGTCACAGCACACCCAACACTTCAAATTTACCCAGGAGGTATCGCCTATAGCAGCCCTGCTGTGGGAAGGGCTCTCTGCCCCTAGCTTCACCCCATTCCTAGCTACCCAGTGACCCAGATGTTTGGTTAGCTGCACTGGAAGGCCAACCTAGGCTGAGCACAGGTCCACTCTCAATGTCCTCCCTGTAGACCTGTGTTCCCGAGCCTTTTCCTTCTGTGAACTGAAGAACTCATTTTCTTCTACACCTTAAAATATCAGACTTCAGCTGTAACAACCATCAAAACACTGTAGGATCCTCATTTTTTTTTCTGTTCTTCCTGAATTGTAGCCAGTTATCCAAGACCCAATTCTGAGTTTGATGGAAATTATCACCCAGTTGTCAGGGGCCATCACTTTTCAAGCCCTAACCTTGCAGACCAGGGGAGAGATACAATCTCCTGTGGAGAATAGTTCAAGCCCAGGAGCGCCTCAGACCCATGCAGCGGTTCAGCTCCCGGCTAATCTGAGCATCACCATCCCACCAGCAGACACAGAAAGCACAGGCCAGAGCCTCTGGCTCAGCATGCCAGAGCCAAGTGAAATAGCACTGCAGCCACACCAGAGCCTAGAGTTACCATCCCTGGAGGAAAACATGTCTGGAGGTCCTGACCTACCTCCCAGTCAGTCCAAGAACTAGCAAATCTAAACAGACTGACTTCTGAGACTCCATAGACTTGTGCTTCTGGGAAGAAGGCAGACTAAACGACTTTCTGTGTCTCAAGGCTACAGAAGCCTCTTCCTCAGCCACAGGGCCACCAATCCATGCTCTAAAAGGAGGGTGAGAGAGCTGGCACTTCAAAATGCCAGCAACCCTGCAACTGTGGGTGTGTGCATATATGAAGATGAAGACAGTGAGAGTCTTACCTGGACCAGATGGAGGGAAAAGAAGGCAGGCTAAAAATGACCAACATCCACAGAGCAAGGGAAAGATGGTCACAGGTGGCTGGTTTCCAAAGCACATTGTTACCGCATACAAATCTATTCTAATAACTACTACTAACTTTTAAAAACTTTGCCTTCAGGTTCCAGCTGACAAATCCCATGATTTAGCCCAAGTTAAAGCCCACCCAGAACACAGAGGCCCTTCCCAGCAGGCCCACTACCACTGTTCACTGTAGATTCAGCCCAGGAAGAAACTGGGGGCTCCTACAGGAGTAACCTAAATCGGCAAGCCTGCTGCCCTCAAGCACCCTGTACTAGCTAGCAAACACCACTAAAAGCAGAGGTAACCACAAATTGTGCTCTCTATCTGCAAATGATACAGAACAAAGCACATGATAGCGCAGGAACATTAATATCAATCAGACAGCCAGCCAGAGACCAGGATCAGAATGACAAACCAGGAAGGCCAAGGGGGAATACCTTGACTGAAAATGCCTTTCCTTTGGGACGAGCCTCTATGTAGCGAAGTGATCTAAGACTTTTGGCATACAGCTGTAGCAGCTGTAGCAGGTGGGCAAAGACTCGGCCAGAGAGCCCATGTGCCCAGAACAACGAGTCAGTGCTTACTTCTCCAGCAACGACAGCGAAGTGGGCAAAGGCATCAGATTTCAGGCCCGCTACTCTCCTCATGTCAGGGAGTCTAAGAAACCTTCGGGTAACTCAGCAGAAAATAAGTCAGAAAAACTCTCCAGAGTATGTCCCAAACTGCCAGGGACTCATCTAAAGTCAGAACCACACAAGTCCCCTCCATGGAACCCATTCACGTAACGGAAACATTCACCTGAGGCCTCTAAGTCAGCACAGCCAACTGTAGCCTACAAAGTCCAATACTGCTCAGAACCTAAACTCAGGCGAGGGTAAGTGTCACAGGTGTAGAGAAGCCTAGATGGTGGGCCCTGGGCCCTATGGTTCTTTTGTAACCATTTACTTAGTGGCCTGGAATCACCACAGCTGATTAGCCCATTCTTTATGAGAACTGCCCATTTATCTCAATCTAAAGACCCTGTTCAGGGTTAGGCCAGACAGCATCTCTCTGGAGTCCCTCATTCAGAGCACTCAATCCAGAGATGGGCCAGTATCCCACCAGGTAGAGGAAAGGCAACAAACAAATCCCAAAGCTTAGCTTAGAGATCTTTCTTGCCTATCATTCGAGTTCTAAAATGGAAAAATAGATTCTGAAACCAGGTACTGGAGACTCAATGTAAGTTCAGCTTTCCTGAAACGATTCTCCCTCAGCCTGGCCCCTACTCAACAGCTTCTCGGCTTCACTGGCAGTCATTACAAAGCCAGAGAGGAAGGTGAGGGTGGAAGAGAAGGCTTCCTGTGTCTGTCCTGCACCTGCCAGGCCTTCAGGAGACCCAGACTGAGGAAGGTGGGAGTCAGAAGCCCTTAGAGCACCAGCGCAGCTCTGAACTCGGGGTGTGCCATGAAGGCAGTTCAGAAAGGCAAACTGGTCTTGCAGTCTAGGGTCCAGTACCCACTGCAGGCACCAAGGGAGGAGAGGAAGGTACAAAGAGGGAGGACTGTGAAACCAAGAAACCAGGAAGATTAAATTCTTTTCATAAAAAAATTAGCCTGATAGATAAAAAATATACAAAGTTGAGGTGTGTTAAAAGACACTGGTACCAGGAGGAAAGACAACTGGAAGTTGGCATTTGTTCCCACTGAAGTGCTAACATGGACACAGATGGGGACAAGACACGGACGACTGCCTCAGGCACAGACAGAGACACGGGGCAACTGGACACAGACGGAGCCAGTGCTCGCACTGTTCATGAACACAACAGCTGACAAACATATATACAGAAATGTTTAATTGAAGAAGCAAAGAGGAAAGGAGAGAAATCGTGAAACCCAGCCCTGGGCTGCGGTGCGCCACACAGCACAGTCCTGCACAATAGCGAGGGTCAACTGGCCTGGACTCCGACAGCAGCTTCTGGACACAGTGGGTGTAAAGCAACAACAGACATACTGGCCACTGGAAACATGTTCTTCTTACGTGGGGAGGGAAGGGGCAGAGGCTGAAACACACAAGCCCCGGTCTGGTAGGTGAAGCGCCAGCAAGACTACACACGGAGTATCTCCAGGCAGTTGTTATAGCAGATGGCGATCCAGTCCGGCTGAGTTGAGGCCCACTGCACATTGTTGATCTCTCCTTCGGCTGTGTAGGCCAGAATAGGGTCCTCGATGGCCCGAGGCATCTGTTGGATGTCCCAGATGAGAGCCTGATGGTCATCCGCTAGGAAAAAGCAAGAAAGAACGTCATGACTCAGACAATGGAGTAACGATCTTGCATTTGGAGACTCAGTCACAATTTGCAAAACATTTGCTCACCAAAACTTTGTGAGGGAAGTTTTACTTTAGAGATGAGGAAAACAAGATTTAGCAGTGTTACCATTTGCCCTATCATGCCATGTAGACAGTGAGTGGCAGGGTCAGGACTACATCTTAGGTCCCGACTCCGCATTCTAGGTCCTTAAGCTCCATTCACTGCACCAGGTAGAGAATTAGATTAGGACATCAGAGAGGACACAGGATGCAATGATCCCAAAATACAATGTCACTTTCATCCACTAAAAATACTTATGTGAATAATGATGCTTCTCTGATGACTGCTTCCCATTTTATATTTACACTTCAACAAGATGTACAGATGATTGACATAAAGTGCTATATAGACATGCACCATTAAAAGAAATTCCAGTCAGGTGGTGGTGGTGCACACCTTTAATCCCAGCACTCAGGAGGCAGAGACAGGCAAATCTCTGGGAGTTCAGGGCCAGCCTGGTCTACAAAGCAAGTTCCAGTACAACCAGGACTGTTTCACAGAAACTCTGTCTCAAGAAACCAACCAACCAAAGAACCAAACAGATAAATGAAATTCCATCTTGTACAGAGACCCACATTGGAGCACCGGACTGAGCTCCCAAGGTCCAAATGAGGAGCAGAAGGAGGGAGAACATGAGCAAGGAAGTCAGGACCGCGAGGGGTGCACCCACCCACTGTGACAGTGGGGCTGATCTATTGGGCGCTCATTAAGGCCAGCTGGACTGAGACTGAATAAGCATGGGATAAAACCGGACTCTCTGAACATGGCGGACAATGAGGGCTGATGAGAAGCCAAGGACAATGGCACTGGGTTTTGATCCTACTGCATGAACTGGCTTTGTGGGAGCCTAGCCTGTTTGGATGCTCACCTTCCTAGACCTGGATGGAGGGGGGAGGACCTTGGACTTCCCACAGGGCAGGGAATCTGGACTGCTCTTCAGACTGGAGAGGGAGGGGGAATGGAGTGGGGGGAGGGGGAGAGGAGTGTGAGGAGGGGGAGGGAAATGGGAGGCAGGGAGGAGGTGGAAATTTTTTCAATAAAAAAAAAATCCATCTTGTAATGGAATCCCAACAATAGGGAACTGGGGACATAGCTCAGTGGTAGAGTACCTGCTTATCATGGTCATGTCCTTGGTACAATCTCACAAGCACCATCAGAAAATAAACAAAAAAACCTGATGAACCATTGCAAACTTTTGTGTTTTGCTAGGTCTGGTGGCACATGATTATAATCCTGCCACTTGAGGCAGAGGCAAGTGGACCACTGCAAGCTGGAGCTCAGCCTGATCAATAGTTCCAGCCAGACAGCACTACACAGTGAGAGCCCATCTCACCAAAAATAAATAAATAAAATAAAACAAAACCTTAAAACAAACAGCGACAAAATAATTTAAAAAATTTTCCCAAGCAGTGTTCTCTCTTAAACCCACAAAGATCAGTCACTACTGTCCTTGGAGCTTCCTCTCACTGTTTTCTAATGGTCTTGATTAAATCTTTATTAAAACTTGTATTCAAACTGGGTGGTCATGGCTCATGCCTTTAATTCCAACACTTGGGAGGCAGAGGTAGGGGGATCTCTGTGAGTGAGGCCAGCCTGGTCTACAGAGCTAGTTCCAGGACAGGCTCCAATGCTACAGAAAAACCCTGTCTTGAAGAAAAAAAAAAAAGGAAAAGAAAAAAGAAATAGCAAACTTATCACAGCTTTGTATTATTTTCATTTTAATAACAGACTTGCATTATTTCTAGAATTAAAAACACTTAATAAGCAATGTATTTTTGAGAGGCACCTGCTTTGAGAAAAAAATAGTGAAGTGAGAACTCTAAATCAAACTACTGACTAGGTATGGCTATGTGAAGAAGAAAGACCCATGGGAGATGATTCCTGGTAGTGCTAAAGACCCTGTTAAAGCCTGGTGGGTGTTTCTTTGTAAGAACACAGATTGGTTGGGGACCAGTACATATTCCCCTATAGGAGTATACACACAGGTCTGTATCTGATACACAGTCATTAGTCAGTGAAAGATGCTCTGAGACCAGCTGAATACTTCCTCCCATCACGGTTACCTGCAGTGCAGATGTGGCAGGATGAATGCGGGGCCCAAGCAATGCCATTGACACAGGCTCGGTGGTTGTTTAGCCTGGCAACAGGTGTGCAGGGAACTCGAACATCCAGAATTACCACCTGCAGAAATACAAGAAAAAGAACCAATAACTGCAGAGTGTGGCAGGAAAAACAAACAAACGAACAACACTATCACACACACAAATTTTAAGCATAATCTTCATTTTGGGTTTGAAGACTATTAAAGACAGGATTTCCTGAGGATGGAGGAATAAAGAAAACAGTGAACACACTTATGTAGTGAGAGACACACTGGGCCTTTAGATTAATGGAGAAGGGGAAGTTGGAATAAGCATCACGAGTTTGCATGATCCATAAACACTTGGTTAAGTGCCTGTAAGAAAATAGGGTAGTGGCGCACACCTTTAATCCCAGCACTCAAGAGGCAGAGGCAGGAGATCTCTGTGACTTCGAGAACAGCCTGGTCTACAAAGTGAGTTCCAGGACAGCTAGGACTATCACACAGAGAAACCCTGTCTCAAAAAAAAAAAAAAAAAAATCAAAACCAAAAAATTAAAATAAATCAAAAATCATGTATCTTAGCTAGGTAGAATGGGCACCTAACCAAAGCAGAACCTGGAATGTAAGAAGTGTGAGGCACAAGCTTCATCCAAACCAAGGTTAACCACCATGTCCTCTTGATCAACAATCCACCCCCCAGCAGACCACAGAGCTTCCGTTTACGCCTACTTGCAACAGCTGGAGAGTCTGCCTAGAACACCAGGGGGGATGGCCTACTTTCTTACTCAGTCCCTGTGACTTGGTTTAAATTTTAGTCATTTATATATAACTTGTCTTATCTTTTTTTTTTAAATTATGAAATGAATGTTTATTTGAGTGTTTTGAATCAGTTGCATAACCAATTCATGACAAATTACCAGATGGATTTTTTTTAAACATTTTTTTTAAGATTTATTTATTTATTATGTATATAACATTCTGCCTCGATGTATGCCCGCACGCCAGAGGAGGGCGCCAGATCTCAATACAGATGGTTGTGAGCCACCATGTGGTTGCTGGGAATTGAACTCAGGACCTCTGGAAGAGCAGCCAGTGCTCTTAACCTCTGAGCCATCTCTCCAGCCCCTACCAGATGGATTTTATATTATTTATTCAGGACTAGAGTTTTTCAATGACTTCATATTTGTAATCTTCAACTTTGAAGCTAAGAAACATATTCATACATTTTAGCTTACAAGGCTCTGGCTGATACTCTGGGCCAGTAACAGCAAGTCCTCCAGATGCCTGTCATTTTGATCTGTATTCTTATCTTGTCCATGAAGTTTCTGTACGGGATTAGTTTCCTTATTAACCACTACTGTTCCTCCGCAGAGAGACAAGAGGAAGCCTGCAGACTCAGTGGCTCTGTGCCCCTGCACTGAGTCCCTGCTGCAGCCATCATCACTGTTCCATTCGTCTTAGCTTTACTCTACCGGAAACTCTTTCGAGACAGGGTTTCTCTAACAGCCCTAGCTGTCCTGGAACTCACTCTGTAGATCAAGCTGGCCTAAAACTCAGAGATCCATCCGCCTGTCTCTGCCTCCTGAGTGTGGGATTAAAGGCGTACGCTACCACCACCTGGTTTTCTATGTAGCTCTTGTCCTGGAACTTTATGTAGATCAGGCTGGCCTTAAACTCACAGAGATCCTCCTGTCTCTGCCTCCCAAATGCTAAAGTCGTGCCCAGTGAAAGTTTACTAGTTGTGTGTGTGATTTTTGTTTTTGTACTGGGGATCAGGACCTTGAACATGCTAGACAAGCACTCTGTCTGCCACTATGCTACACCCCCACTGTATCAGAAATTCTTATTTATTTATTTATTTATTTATTTATTTATTTATTTATTTATTTATTTATTATCTATACACTATTCTGTCTGTTTGTATGTCTGCAGGCCAGAAGAGGGCACCAGACATCATTACAGATGGTTGTGAGCCACCATGTATTTGCTGGGAATTGAACTCAGGACCTTTGGAAGAGCAGGCAATGCTCTTAACCACTGAGGCATCTCTCCAGCCCTGTATCAGAAATTCTTAACACAAAAGCAGTGCAATTGCAGTGAGTTTTTGGCCAACCTTGGATACACAGTAAGTTCCAAGCTAGCTTGAGCTACAGAAACTCTGTTTTATCAAAGAAGCAGGGAGAAGCTGAAGCCAGTTCTTGTTGGCTGGGTTCCTCAGTCTCGGCCCTTTTGGCATTCTGAGTAGACTGAGACTGCTGGGGACGGTCTGTCTGCACTGCAGGGTGATGAGCAGCTTCCCTGATGTTATACACTTGATGCCAGGAATGCTCTATGCTTCCTCCTTAACATCTGACAACCAAAAACGTCTCCAAGTACTTCCAAAGACCTACTGAGTACAAAACTGCCACCATCTGAGAGCTCCTCTTGTAAATACACTAAGCAGACCGGAGCCAACGGACAGGGCCTATAGGGCTTACCTCCATTCCATCCATGGCCATGGTGGCAAGGTAGTTAGGGTCCTGCTTATTCCAGCAGAGGCGGAGCAGTGGGTGATGCTGTGGGTCTTCGTAAATGATGGTGCTATGTTCCAGATGGCGGAGGTCAAACATCCTCACAGAGCCATCCGCACCCACAGAGGCAAACATGTCCCTGCCACCTCCGGCTCGGCTGAATGCAATATCATAGACCTGTTGGTAAGAAGCTTCAGGTTTACATCAGCCATTTTCCCACACAGTGGAAACCTGTCACCTCCAGTTCATCGGAACCAAACTCATGACACAAAGTAGGTAAGTTAGTGACTTCTCAGAGAATAAAGATCATTTGACCACAGGTCCTGGTAGACTTCTTCCCATGCCTGGCTTCGATTCTTCCTCTCCAAACCCTGTGATAAAACAAAATCTACAAACTTACTGACTGGCAAAAAATACCAAGTCTGAACAAGGACTCTGTTCCAAGAGTAAGGCAGTTATTTTCTGGGCTCTAAGGGTTTCACTTATATGCAATCAGATGCAGGTTCACGACAAACTACCTCATGGTTCTTTCAAGCTGGTTCTGCTATAAAACCTAGACCTGAGACCCATTTGTAAGAAAAAGGTAATCACAACTTTTGTTTTTGTGTTTTTTTAAAAGGGTATCGGGGAGCTAGAGAGATGGCTTGGTAGTTAAAAGTATTTGTTGCTCTTGCAGAAGACCCAGGTTCAGCTAAGAGAGATCTGTAGCTACAGATCCAGAGGATCGGACACTCCCTTTCGGCCTCCTTTTACTGGGCACACATGTGGTGCAAGGACATACATGTAGGCAAAACATCCATACACATAAAATAAATAAATCTTGAAAAATAAAATAAAAAGTCTTCAATAAAAATAAAATAAAAAAATCTTCAATCATGGCTCAAGAAGAGGAGGATGTCAGAGATTACAGTTTGATGGAGGAACAGAAGGCAATCAAAGACGGGTACCCTCCAGTCAATCAAAGCATGCATGTCTGGATCATACGGCTGCTGTCGAGTTACATGCATGAGGATCTGCTCTGGAGAAAGCATTTGAACAGTGTGCCATGGCCACAGTTACATGACAGATACAGGGACTGTGGACCCCTCCAAACAGTAGAAGTAGAAACTCAAGGAAGATGAGTTGCAGACTCTAACCTTTCCCTTTTTGGACGACTGGCTTTACAATTCAGTGCTGATGAATACGTCATACCTGGCAAGTGAAAATACTTAATACTGATCAAAAAATCTTCAAGTTACAGTCAATTGGGTTGGGAGAAGACTTTTTTGTCTAAGCACCCTCAGGGAACAGAAGTCAAAGCAATAACATACTCAGCAATGCAAGTCCATAAGGAAGAGAAACCAGAAGTTTTTTTGTGATCAACAACATTTAAGATACCAAAATAAGTAAATAAATAAATAAAAGGCAAGGAAGAAAGAGACTCATAAAGAACTGAGTTCTTTTTCCTTTTGCAAAGATGCAATTATTTATTTTCTATTGTGTCTTTGCTAAATGGAAATACATAACTGGGAATTTAAGTGTGACTTTCAGAAGTGGAAAACCAGTGTGAAGCCTTGATCTGATTCCTAAATAATGAACTCTTTGATTTTTGAGGAACAATCTGTACTTGGTCATTTGCAGCAGCAGTAGCAGGTGCCTTACTTACACCTTCCAGAGGAATGTAAGCGCTCCAGCATGGTCTCAGACGGGAACATCCCCACTGGTGTAAGCAGACCCTGGGACTGAATCCAATTCCAAACAAAATAATTTGAGCTTGGCTGTGGATCTCTGCCTCTGCTTCCTCCTTTAGTTACCAGATGTAGGTTCTATGATGACAGTTAGGGTAGTCACCAGTCTGATTACAAGAAAAGGCTGGTTCAGGCACCCGCTCCACTCTTGCTAGGAGTCTTAGCTAGGGTCCTCCTTGAAGATTCCTGGGAATTTCTCTAAAACAAGGTCTCTCCCTAACCCCATTATGGTTTATCCCTCTATAAAGATATCTATTTATCCCTCTATAAAGATATCTCTTTCATTGCTCCCCCTCTCTATCCCTTCCCTAATTCAACCATCCTGCTCCCTCATGTTCTCATCCCCCCCATCCCCAATTTCCCCTTCCTAGGACAACCCACGCACGTCCCTCTTAGAGCCCTCTTTTTAAGCAGCAATGATACTTCCTATTTTCTTAGAAGAAATATCTGACACTGTACCTTACATAAAGACCCCTGGGCACGTTTTATTTATTACTTATCACCATGGTAACCAACTGTTCTACTACTGAGTTTATAGTCCCAGCCCTAAAGTGAACATTTATTTATGTTTGTTTGTTTATTTATTTATTTATTTTTGAGACAAGGTCTCACTGTATAGACCAAGTTGGTCTTAAACTCATAGTGTCTGCTTTCTGATTACTGGCTTAAAATTGTGCCTCAGGGCTGGAGAGATGGCTCAGTGGTTAAGAGCACTGACTGCTCTTCCAGAGGTCCTGAGTTCAATTCCCAGCAACCACATAGTGGCTCACAACCATCTGTAATGAGATCTGGTGCCCTCTTCTGGGGTGCAGGTACACATGCAGGCAGAACACCTTATACATAATAAATAAATAAATCTTTAAAAAAAAATTGTGCCTCAATATGCTGTAATTTTATTAAAGCTAGTCTATATATCCAGTTAAGAGGAAGGAAAGACGGGAGAGAAGGAGACAGGGAGGGAGGAAGGAAGAAAAAAAAAATCTCATGTGGCCCACTTGTGGCCCAAGTTGGCCTCAAACTTGCTAGGTGGTAGGTGGTATATATGTCCTTATGTAGTGAATAGCACTAGACAAAGCCTTTGTCTGTCTGGTGTGTCAGACCTAAGAAGATAGGGTCTTGCTATGCAGCCCAGGCTGGTACCCAACTTTAGATTGTTCTACCTTTATCTACTACGTCCTAAAATTATAGGCACCCAGGGTCCCCTTTTAATCATTCTTTTCCTGTTGTTTTAAGACAGGGTCTTGTGTAGCCCAGGTTAGCATTAAACCTGCTATGTAGTAGATGACCCAGAACTCTCGATCCTCCCACCCCTGCATCTAACCACTGAGCTGACAGGCGTGCAGGCCTGCGTCACACGTGCCACTGCATCTCACCCTTTAGAACCCCTCTTCATCTTCACCGCAGAGAAACCTTTCTTCACCGTTAGAGAAAGGGGGGCTTAGCACGTTGAACAAAACAGATGGGCATCTATTAGCTGGGTTTGTCCCTCAGTATCCAGAGTGTCTAGAGGATCTACATTTTTAAAGAAAGCTTTTTATTTTATCTGTATGAGTGTTTTGGCTGCTTGTATGTATGTAAACTACATGAGTAGCTGGTGCCTGCAGAGGGCATAGGATCCCCTGGAACTAGAGTTACAGACAGTTATGAGCTGCCATGTGGGTGCTGGAATTGAATCTGGGATCTCTATAGAAGAGCAGTCAAGGGGGCTGGAGAGATGGCTCAGTGGTTAAGAGCACTGCCTGCTCTTCCAAAGGTCCTGAGTTCAATTCCCAGCAAACACATGGTGGCTCACAACCATCTGTAATGGGGTCTGGTGCCCTCTCTTGGCCTGCAGGCATACACACAGACAGAACACTGTATACATAAGAAAGAAAGAAAGAAAGAAAGAAAGAAAGAAAGAAAGAAAGAAAGAAAGAAAGAGCGAGCAGTCAATGCTCTTAACTGCTGAGCCATCTCTCCAGCCCCAGACCCAATATTTTTCTTTTTTAAAGACTTATTTATAGAAAATAGAGAAATCAATTAACACTAAAAAAAAAAGACATTTATTTATTATGTTTACAGTTTCGCTCTGCATGTATGCCTGCAGGCCAGAAGAGGGCGCCAGACTTCATTACAGATGGTTGTGAATTGATGGTTGCTGGGAATTGAACTCAGGTCCTCTGGAAGAACAGTCAGTGCTTTTAACCGCTGAGCCATCTCTCCAGCCTTGGGACCCAATATTTTTTTTAGTGAGAAATTCTATTTATTTCTCCATATCAATGTCAGCTATCATTACTACTAAAACATACTAAAAAGTGTGTTTTGTGTTTGGCATCTGCTCTCCTGTTGGTTCTGGGTAATCCACCATCAGTGTGGCTCAGAGCAAAAAGCTCTCTCAGTGTAAGTAACTGCTCCTCAGCCCCACCTGCATGGTTCATCAGGAAAGAGGGAAGGTGGCAACTCAGAGTTGCCATCACGGGCTCCTTTTTCCAGCGTGTCATCTACTCTATTTCTCCAGCCCTCCTGCTCCTCTCTGTGCTGTACGAGACTGCTTCCTACAGGCCAGGTCTGGTGGAGTCCCAGCTTTACTGGCTGCTTCTAGAGAGCAAAGGCCTTTCTATATAACATTTCCACAAGCTCCTTTAGTTTATCTCTGCAGAACACTTTTAGCTTAGCAGGAGTTAAGTCCCAGTGTTTTCCTACAGATCTTACTCTCAGGAGTGCAACACCGAAGATCAACCTGATGTAACGTGATACTCTGCTGACCTTAAGGTATCTTTTTTTCTGTGTAAGAAATACTGGTACCACTTACTGTGCAGGTAAAGGGGCAGAAAACGACACAAGATAAGGACCCAGGCTCTGTGGGAGCAGAGTTATGCCTGCTTCCCCCTCCAAATCACCAGAGGATACCCCCCTCAGCTTTTCTAGTAAACACAGAAGAAACATCAATAAGCCATATTTGCCTTAAAACTTTACTGAAAGTAAAAAGACTAGTAAACATACCAGAGTACACAGAATTGTTTTAGAGAAAAATAGCTAATAAGGATTGCCTGTCATGAACTCCTCCCCTTCCTGTTTCCCCATCTCCAAGAAGATATTATATTTAGAGAGAAGGGTTACCCTGAAATTACTCTTTAACACATCAGCTTCTAGGATATCTATAGGAGACTTTATTAAAAAATAGCAACCTCTGTCCCCAGACCTCATGGGAGAGCTGGCCCTGCCCCTACCAGCCCATAGCACTGCTGTGATGTGGGTGGTGGTATGAGTATGGAAGAGCTAGCTCCACCTGCTCAACCACCACAAGGCTCTCCTCAGCTGATGCTTTTGGTGGAGGATGCAGGGAGAAGAAGACTCATTCTCTGTTGGGGGGCTGGCCACTAGGAAATTAACTGTACTCCTGTGAATACATGGATAACACAAAATGAATTTGCTTTTTTTTCTTTTTGAGGCAGGGGATGGGGTGGATATGGGGAAACTAGGAGGTGAGCATGATCAAGGTCATGTTAGATTCCCAAAAATCAATTAAAAAAAATACCTCCAGCAACCTCTAGTATGAAAGGAAAATGACAGACTGCAGGTTAAGTTATTAGTGCCATTTAATGAAGCATTTGGGCTGGTGGGGTGGCTGAGCCACAGGCTAACAGTACTGTTCTGCAAACCTGAGCTCAGTCCTTAGAACCCACAATGGAAGGGGACAACCGACTCCCCAGAGCTGTTCTCTGACCTCTACACAAGCACAGTGGTATACATGTGCTGGCACAGGCACACACATTCTCTCTCATAATAGTCATAATAAATGATACATTTTAAAAGGTTAAATTATAAGTGTTGTTCTGTTTTAACACATTAATTTTCAACTTGGACAAGACACATGCCAACATTATGATCTACATAACCCGCAAACCAGTGAGAGAACAGGACGACCTCTACCTGCAGGTACAGAAAGCACCTGAAAAGAAGGAGAGAGAAAAATATCATTACCTCTTTGTCATGGGCAATTAGCTGGGTCTTCACATGGCCAGATACGAGATTCACTCGTCCTAGTACCTGCCCGGTCTCCAATCCCCAGATGGTGCAGGTTGTGTCAATGCTTGAGGTACCTGCAGACACCAGAGCAAGCCAGCACTGATGAGGTGAGGTTCCAAACAGACCCCTCTTCTTTGCTTGGCCCAGGGGACAATCAGCACAGCACTTCCTGAGCACTGACTTGTTTTTTGTAGGGTGGGGAGGAGAATTTCTTGAGACAGAATACCCTGATATAGTTTAGGCTGAGCTTGAACTCAAGATCCCCCAGCCTGCACGCCACAAGTGTTGGGATTATAGGTATGGACTGTGAATTTTAGCTGGAGAGATGTGATGTACACACAGGGAAAGCTGGCTTCCCCATAAGAAATTACTAACTATAGTGCATGCCTTTAATCTCAGCAATGGGGAGGAAAGGCAGGCAGATCTCTGAATTTGAAGCCAGCCTGGTCTACAGAGAGTTCCAGGATAGGCACCAAAGCTACAGAGAAACTGTTTCAACCCCCCCCCCCCACAATCACAAAACAAAAAAAAAAAAGAGAGAAATTAATAACTACATTCCATATTTAGCCCATTTCATTCACTGGCTGTTCTAGGATGAGGTGTGCACCTCAACCCCCACCTCCACAAAAACAGACACAGCCCGAATCTGAGGAAATGTATATCTTCCTTTGCTTCAAGTTGATTTCAAAGCCCTCACCTAAAAGATAAGGATCCACCTCGTTCCAGTCAAAGGAGGTCAGGGGAGCACAGAAGTCTGAGTTCTTGTTATTGTTTAGCAAGCACTCCAGCCTGGTCTCTGTTTCACCAACCTGAGGGACAACAATTTAAGATATTCACTGTCTATGCACCTCCTCGCCCACCCAAGGTCCTGCTTAGTAAATCTAGGACAAAGGGAGAAAATAGTTTTATAACAAAGGCTAAATAAAACCCAGAGGAACTTCTGAATTGGTATCTTTCAAACCTGCCCTTCTCCCAGCTTTACTCTCTAGCTCTGCACCCATGTACAAGGAAACCCCTGTGCCGAGCTCAGCTGAAAAGGGAAGACCCCCACCTACCCCCACAGCACAGAATCAAGAGCCTGGGATCAGTGGAGTACGAGGTCTCAAGTGTTCTCTGCCTCACAGAAGACTGTCCCCATCACACCAGGTTAACTGAGCCTCAAGTTTCAAGGCTGACTGAGGCCAGCAGTAAGATTCTGTGGCACCTGGGCTAGATTTCCTAGAAAACCTGAGCTAAAACCAGACTGGCCCAGATGCACGCGCTGTCACCTCCATGCTGCAAGGATACTACCTGTCAGCTCTTCAGGACACGCAGCAGCTGTCTGCTAAGGAAGCTCCTGCTTACCCTCCACACACGGAGATAGTCACCACTCGTCGCCAGCAGGTCGGGATAGACGCCTTTCGTGTCAGGAATCCACATGAGCTTTGTGGTGGGGTATGGGTGGTCAAAGGTGTTTCGGCAAATAAACTCCGAACTCTCTTCATCTAAACCAACAAGCTGAACCTGCAACACACCAAAATTCAAACACATGAGCATTTGCTTTTCTCCAGCAGCACCGAATACATCAGATTCCTGGTCAGTGGTGCAGGTCTGAACACTGAAGGGTACAGCCAAGTAATTATAGTGAGAGGACCCCTAGACTGATGATCCCAACACAAATGAGAACTCAAGAATCGCAGGGTTCAGTATAGCTAACAATACAAAGCTAGAAAAAGACAATCTGCCTCTTAAATTCTGAGCTAAACTCACCCACCTACCCACTCTCTGAGACAATCAGACCTTCCTGTCTCTCCTCCCAAGTGCTGGGATTACAGGAATGTACAATCACAGCCTGCTTAATGAAGTGCTGGGGAATGAACCAGGGCTTCACGTATGCTAGGCTAGTACTCTACCAACTGAGCTGCATTCCCGATTCCCTTTTGGCTTGAGTCAAGGTCTTCCTACACAGACCAGGCTGACCTCAAACTCACAGACATTCTCCTGCCTCTGCCTCCTGAGTGCTTGGATTAAAGGTGTGTGCCACTATGCCCAGCTCCAGCCTATGGATTTTAACAAATTAGTGACACATTTTGCAAACATTGTTGTAAAAAGTATTTTCACTCTACTTAAGAAGGTTTTTGAGGCAGAGCTTCATGTTGTCTCCATCTTGCGAGAATTTGCTCTGCTTTTTATCAGGCTGAGTTGTTTTCTCCTTGACTTTTAATTGTTGCTACCAAGAAAACATGCTTTACTCTTTCCCAAGCTTTCTCTGGCTTTCAGTGGATTCAGTTGTCCACACGTCTGGGCGCCATACTGTAGTGATAAAGCTCCGACCCAGGATGGATGTAGGCTAGAATCTTCCCAGTAAGCGCACCTTGGGGTGCTACACACATTATTAAAAATGGGCTAGTTCAGGTGCGAGAGTTAGCCGAGAAGAGGCTAGATATAATGGGCCAAGCAGTGTTTAAAATAATACAGTTTGTGTGTTATTATTTCGGGTAAAGCTAGCCTGTGGCGGGAGCTGGGTGGCGGAATGCAACCCGCAGCTCCTACTACAAAGTTTCGGTTTATACTAGGATAGTACATACATAGACAACTGGAAAGACGAAGGCCCCAAATAGTGACTCGGTTGGAAATTATTATTATTATTATTATTATTAATCTACCTGCCTAGGACTTCCATTTTGTAAGCACCCATGACCTCAGCTCGATTCCATTCTCTCCTTAGTTAAGCTGTTTGTAACTGTGGTCTATATTTCAGTTCCTGAGAACTTTAACAGTACCCAGTGCCTAGGCAGCATCCCGAGGAGGGGATGCAAATCTGTGGTAAAGATACACACAGGTATCTATCTGCTGGAGCACCCAGTGGTCCAAGTACAGCCATGGTTGGGATCACTGTATTAGCTCTGCCACATCAACCAAATCCACGTCTGGGAACTTGAGACCTTAATCCTACTTAGTCTCAGTTCTTCGTTTGGAAGGGAAAATGGGAAAGGCCACACCCACACTGCATGGAGATGCAGGAAAAGCTGGCACGCGGATTGAGTAGACTAGAGAGGGTGCAGGACATGAGCCTTGCTTTGTGAAGGGCAGGGTGTGAGAGCAGCTTTCCACTTCCTGATTTGCCTGGCAGAGGCCTAAGATTCATCCTTTCAGATCTCCAACTCTCCTGCTACCCTAAATCATCCTTTTTTCTCCCTTAATCTTATGTGCATGGATGTTTTGTCTGCATCCATGTCTGTGCACCATTTTCACACACGGTGCATGAGGAGGCCAGAAAAGGATATCAGATCCCCTGGCACCAAAGTTACAGATGGTTGCGAGCTGCCATGTGAGTGCTGGGAATTGAACCCAGGACCTCTACAAGAGCAGACAGCGTTTTTAAGCACTGATCCATCTCTCCAGCTCCCACTCATAAAAACTATCCTGGGTAGACTCCTGTTTCTTGAGATTAAAGAACCTTAAATCACACTAATAAGATACTAAAAGTAGTGACACTCTCTGTGAGGATAGAGTTGAAGCAAACTAGCTTCACATGCTTTAGGGTAAGACTCTGTGGGCAGAAGATACGGTTCAGCCAGTAAAATGCTTGTCTCACAAGCATGAGAACCTGAGAGTAATTCCCATGTTAAAAGTCTGCTGTGGGCACACCTGGAATCTCAGCTTTGGGGAGGTAGAGGCAGGAGGATCCCTAGGGCTTGTTGGTCAGACAGGTTAGCAGAGTCCAAGCTCCAGGTTCATGATTCTGCCCCCAAAATAAGATGAAGTTCTTGCAGTGGCTTGGCTATCAGCTCTCCTAAACTCTAAGGGGCTTTTTTTTTCCCCATAGAAACTGTGTCCATGCATTGGACGCCAGAGGTTATTGACAAGTATCTTTCCTGTTTCAGAGAACTGCAGCTCTTCTGAGTTTGGCACCTGCAGCCAGATACCCTTCCTATATCCGAGACCTACTGCTCTGCCTCACATACTTCGGGAATGCTGGGAAAAACTAATTCTGACAGCTGCCATCATGCTGTCCCGTGCCCTGTCATGCCTCTTCCATCTCCCACCTTCAAGGAGTCTGTGGTAACAAACAAGGAGATATGGCACTTTTCTTTTAGAAAAACAGAACTCACAAGGTAGCTGTACATATATATATATATGTAAGTAATTTCTGCACTTGGGAGGCAGAGGCAGGTGGATTAGGAGGTCAAAGCCTGCCTGGGCTACATGAGGCTGCATCTCAAAAAAACAATAACCCCATAAGATATGAGTAATATATTGTTCACAGATAATAGAAAAGATGCATTTTTGTTTGAGACAAGGTCTCACTTTATAACTCATATTGATTAGAAGCTCACTATGTAGCCCAGGCTAGCCTCAAACTTACAAAACTCCTCCTACCTCAACCTTTCAAGTGCTGGAATTACAGGTGAGAGGCACCAGGCCCAGCTTCAGGGTTACATTAGATTAGATTAGATACTTGCTCCTTAGGAGGCACCGGACACGTCCTGTTTTAAAATGAGGTGCTAGAGATAAGAACACTCACTGCTCACGCAGAGTTGGAGTTTGGTTCCCAGCACTCACATTGGGTGGCTTACAACAGCCTGTAACTCCAGCTCTGAGGGACTGTGACACCCTCTTCTGGCCTCTGCAGGTACTCAATGTCTCCTCTGTTAGATAAAAGACTCTAGAAGAGCTTAAAGGGAAAAAAAAAATAATTTGTGTGTTTGTGGGGGAAAAAAACTACAGTTCTTTAATGGACATTTACATTTATTTCTTACACGAATCCTTAAACAATAGTTCTAGTGGTCGTAACCTAACACTACCCACACCTGGACCCTGAAACCCAGCCAGATTTCTAGCACTGTGGGAGAAGCCATCAGAGAAGAGAAAAGAAACAAGGTTCTTGTTTGCAAAAGGGAAGGGCAGTGCTCACTCCCTGGGATTGTAAACTGTAAGTGTATGTGTGGGTCTAGGCAAGGAAAGTCAGTCCTTTCACCCGTTCCTCAAAAAGGACGCCAAAGAAATGGGGATCCTTACCCAGAGAAACGCATGTGCTCCTCAAATACTATAAACAAACTTAAAATGTCCAAATGTTTTCATCTGAATCTTCACATGTAACACAGAACCCCTTTCCTATACCACTGCGGGCTAGAAAGAATAAATTCCGGTCCAGGCAATGCAAATTTGGTCGATGCAAGGTGGTCTAGCTAAATTCTAGACTATCTACGTCTTCCACTCCTCCCATCTTGTCTCTTGTCTCCAGTCTGACGTCCACAGCGTAAGCCAGAGTAAACTGGCTTTAAACAACACTGACCAAAGCTTTCAGTAGCTTTGATATCTGTCAGTTTTTTTTTTTTAACTTAAATTACAACAGAAGAATGAAGTCAAGAGACTGGGGAAAGAAAAATCTTCTCAGCACTTTCAAAACTACATCCCGAAGTACCAGCTTAAAAGCTCTCTCCTCTACCAGCGTTTTGGTGAAGTGACGGATGTCCAGCAACGCTGCAAACCAACGTGAAAGGAACCACGACAAGAACAGGTCAAATGTCATCTTCCTCTATTCAGAAATAATGGCGGGATAATGCCACAGACCACGGTTTCCAAGGATAGACGGGGGTGGGTGGGGGGTGTGAATATCGGGAAGCAAAACCAGTGACCAATGACAACCTAGCATTAGGGCTCTGTATCCATGAGAAACACCTGAGATGGGGAAGATCTTGCAATAAATAGCCCTAACAGAAATCTCGCGTGGCCAGGAATACACGACCACCAATCCAAGCGCCCGCATCTTCCTCCACTGCCTCTCCCCCGCCCCCCGCCTAGCAACAGAAGCGCTGCGGCAGAAGTGGGGGAAACGGGAGGCACGGAGGACGTGGCTTGGGGGACTTAAAACTCCGGTATGAAACCTGCTATTACCAGCAATAACATCATGTGCCTCGGACATGTCACAACACGGTGCCTCAGTTTCCCCGGCTGTCAAAATGAAACACGGCAACGAGTGTGACACCCTCAACATCAGGGCCACAGAGGAACCACCCCCTTGCTAGAAAGACAAGTTCGCAGGAGAGTTGTGGGATCTGAGGCTGCCGCCCACCTCGAGCATTCCCTGCCAGCCACAAGGCTGAGTCCCGGCACGACCCACCTTGTTGTTGTACTCCTCCACGAAGCTGCCCAGCGCCAGGCGAAAGCGCTTGTCGGGCCGCACGCTCCAGTTCATGGCGTAGACAGTCCAGGGCGCTTCATATTTGTAGATCTCCTTCCGTTTGCCGTGCAGGGACATGGTGGCGGCTGGGCCGCAGAGCCGGCCGGAGAGGCGGCGGGCTGGGGCAAGAGACGGGCGGGGAGCCCGGCTTGGGTCAGCGGGTCCGAGAGGAGGCGGGGCCGGGGCGCTCAGGAACGGCCTAGCCCTCCAGCGGGTCCTCGGCTACACACACACTCCGCCGGGCCCGACCACCAGTTTCAAACAAGCTCCGGCAGCGACTACCACCTTCCGTTTGGGATGCCGGCCCGCCCTCTCGGAACGGAAGCCATGCGATCCCGTTGCGACGACGAGCGTTGGCTGCCGGGTACGTCCTTTCCAAACCGTTCCTTCTTCTTATTGGCTATCACAGCCTTAGCACCCGAGCCCTCTTCACTATTGGTGGAAATGTTTGTCATTTTGTTTATTCGCACCACCCAACCCCTGGAGGCGGGTTCTTCGGAAGTCCCTGAGATCATTGGTTAGCTAAGATGTCAGTCAGACGGATAACGGCGCAGTGCGGGTGAATGGGGGCGTGGGTGGTTGGGGGCAAGGATACCCCTCTGAGCGCCTGCAAGTTCTAGGCCAGGGGTCTTAAGAGTGATGCCTGCCACTTTTTCACTGCTGCTGCTGTTTTGAATGCCTCTCTCTGCTGCGCATAACGTGTTAAATCTACCTAAATGGTGTACCTACTGTGTTTATTTCATCGCCCTAAAACCTGAGCCAAACGGGAACTCTGTCCAGCCCCAAGGCCACTTTTAAACTGTTCTCTTACTGACCTGAGAGGGCTAGAGCAGCTTGATTCAGGCTTTCCTGCGGGGTCCTGTAGACACTACACAGACTCCCGAATTCTAGGATTGATTATAAATGGACTTGGCTATTAGTTACTTACTTTCCTCGCTCCGAGGGTGTTCAAAAGCAAAATGCTTAACTTAACATTAAATGTCTATGTGCCATGAGTTTGGAATGCAGAAAAGCCTGGATCTAGATACATTGTTATACATTTAAATGCCTTCAATGATATTGAAAGGGGTTGCATTGACTTGTTAGGCAATATAATAAAGCACACTTTAAAAATATGTTATTTAGGTGTATTTGTGTGTGCCTGAGTCTACATACATGTACCACATGTGTACAGGTGCCCACGGAAGTCAGAAGAGGCGTCGGATCCCCTAGAACTGGAGTTACAAAAGATTGTGAGACACCATGTGAAATCCTGGAATCCAACCCAGGTCCTCTGCAGGAGCAGCCAGTGCTCTCCAGGGTTGTACCGTCAATCCAGCCCACATCTGTTTCTAATAGATGTGATTTTTAACACAGACACTGGAAGCCTTGAGGGACAATGGTATACATCTGAGCAATTATCTTGGATCATGTCCATCTTGTGAAAAGTCTACCGCGCACATTTTTTTTTTTTTTTTTTTTTTTTTTTTTTTTTTGGTTTTTCGAGACAGGGTTTCTCTGTAGCTTTGGAGCCTGCCCTGGAACTTGTTCTGTGGATCAGGCTGGCCTCAAACTCAAAGATCCACCTGCCCCTGATTCCTGGGTGCTGGGGATTAAAGGTGGCACAACAAAAGAATTTTATTGGGAAGTTTTGTTTCTATACTTATCAATAAATTTGGTTTGTTGTTTTCTATTGGTCACATCATTACTGATTTTGCAGTGTGTTAATAATGACTTTGTGGGATTAACTCAGTAGGGGTCGTTCCCTTTCTATTTTTTGGAAGAGTTCTTTTTAGAAGGTAGGTAAGGTTTGGCAGTGAGTCCATGGGCTTCTGGTTTGGTGTTGTTTCAATCTTGTTGCTTGTAACAGATCTGATTAAACTACTTATATTCTGATTTAATTTTAGTAGGATACGTATATGTATGTATGTATACACACACACACACACACATATATTCACCCATTTTTTTCTAGTTTTTTTTTTTCAGGGTTGGAATTTAAACTTTCAATGTCTTCCCTGACTGGCCCTCTGGATTCTTTGCAATCTGTTGTAATGTCCTGTGGTGGTTGACATCCTGGCTTGAGAGACCCTAGAATCACCTAGGAGACAAGTGTCAGTGCTTGTGAGGGACTACCTAGATTAGGTTCACTGAGGTGGAAAGACTCACCTTAACTGCGGAAGATTCCATTCCATGGGTTGCGCTTGCAGACTGAAGAAGAAGGAGCAAGCTCTGAGTGTGGGCACTCAGCCCTTTTTGCTTTCTGCCTATAGATGCAGTGTGACCATTTGCTTGACACACTGACTTCCATCCTTTGACTACTGGTCTACAGGTATCTTTGCCAGTGAAGTGAGTGTTTTGGAGACAATAGATAGTTGGGATTTGGTTTTTAAATCTTTGTTGGTGAGTTCGGGATGTTTAGATTTAAGATCATTATTGAGAGATACTTGCTAATGTCTGCAACTGTGTTGGTTATTTTTCTAGGTGGTTGGATTATCTTGTTCTGGCTCCTGGCCTGATACTCCAGGCTGTTCTGCCTCAGCTTCTCAAGTGCTGGGTTTACAGGCCTGAGCTACTTTTAATCTGTGTGCAGGTGTGTGAGGGGGTACACATACATGTGCATCTGTACATATATGTGTGCCAGAGGACAACCTTAGGTGCTGCTCCTCAGGAATGCCACCTACCTCCTTTGAGACAAGGTCTCTCATTGACCTGGACTTCACCAATTAGGCTAGAATGGCTGGCCAGCAAACCCCAGGGATCCTCCTGTCTCAGCCTCCCCAGTGCCGGGATTACAAGTGTATAGTGTATACCATTATTGCAGGGATCTCTCTCTCTCCTCTCTCTCTCTCTCTCTCTCTCTCTCTCTCTCTCCTTTCTTGAGATAAGGTTTCTCTGTACCTTTGGAGCCTGCCCTGGAATTCGTTCTGCAGACCATGCTGGCCTCGAACTCACAGAGTCTGCCTGCCTCTGCCTCTTGAGTGCTGGGATTAGAGGTGTATGCACCACTACTACCACCACCACCACCGGACACTGCAGGGATTTTTATGAGGGTTTGGGAAACAGAGCTCAGGTCCTCATGCATTTTACCCACAGAGCCATCTCTCTAGCCCCATATGTTGTTTTGAACTAGTGTTAAAGTCTTACTAAGGGTACAAAACATTAACTTTAAGGTTTCAGTTTGTAAAAATACTTGCAAATACTTGGTCTAATCACTAACAGACTCTGCGGCATCAGATAGAAATTGCAAAAGGAGGGGAAGATGAGGGTGGGAGTTATATTAGAATGGTATGCAGAGAAATGGAATGCTGTTTTAAAAGGTTTCTCAAGTCTAGGTTGGAATCTTATTCTCCTTTTCTTAGTGTATTAAGTTTGACTTTTTATTGAAATATAATTTATATGTGGAAGTGCAAACATTTTTCTAACCTGAACAGATCCATGTGGCCATCACCAGACCAGAAAGCAGAACAATACTGAGGAGGCCACCCACACTCTAGTAAGTGCCTTAGTCTCTCTGCTACTGACCCACGATCTCTCCTGTGAGGACAGCAATGCCCACTCTCTGAGGTTGTCCTGAGGGTTAGATGAATTACTGTCTGCAGGGCAGTCAGGATGGTGGCGTGCTGGGCAGACACTGACTATTGTCATGATTCTCTGTGGACACCTAGACCATATCTCTGTTTCCTTCATCTGGAGATGGCCTCAAACTGTCGGCTCCTGGGCTCAGCTGAGACATCTTCAGCTCTCCAAGAGGCTGGGTGTGAGAAGGGCTTAGAGAAGACCTCGGCACCAGTGTGGACCTGCGGATGCTCAGACAAGTTACACATCTAGCCCAACACAAAATGTTCAAGACTTTATTTGCTGTGTGACACTGCATGCCCCCAAGGGACCTCAGGGGGAGAGGGGCTGGGGAGTAAAGCTCTGTCTTTCAGGTTAATCACAGAAAATACCTCCAACTCCAGTCATGTTAGAGGTTTTTGGTGAAAGGTCTGGTCGACTCTGGCCTTAGTTCTGGGCTTTTGAGGCAAAGGATAACTGAGCTGGGAGGCGATCACATGCAGCCCCAGGCAAGACTCAAGATCAGAAACCTCCCTTCTTCACTGACCCTTTGAAGCAGCCCTCTGCCTGGCTTGCCGATTATATGGAACCCGAAGGGGGTTGGGCCAAGTCCTGAGCCTCTTTGCTCAGGCTGCCCTCACCTGGCTCAGCAGTCTGTATTTCTCTGAGAAAATGGTTTTCAGAGTTTCATCCGAGGTCTGTCTAGCTCCCCCAAGAGGCTTAACTCTCACCTCACGGTATTTCAGTTCCCTCATGGTGACTTTTCTCTTGGGGTCCAATGACCCTAACTCCTTGTGAAGCCAGGATCTGAGCCATGCCTCTGGAACTCCAGCTGCTTGGGAACAGAGTCGAGGTGTTCGGGAAGGGAGGGAAAGTCGGGACGGCTGATGAGTCCCTGTACTTCCAGGGGACACAGAGATGAGGCCAGAGGTGACAGGAGTCCCTCAGGCTGTTCCTGTTCTGAGGTTGGAACCAGAGTTTTGTCCACTGCCACAGCCAAGTGACGCATCCTGGGGGAGAAATTCCTGGGCTTCTGAATATGTCTGTCCAAGTCACCATAGCTTAGGGTCTGGGAGGGAGGCAAAAGAGAAGGAGGTGTCCTGTGTACGGAGTCCTACCCCACCTCCAGGCCAGCCTACAGAGTTCTTCATTTGGGGCACGAATGTGTGTATATGGATATATATGCATATATATATGCATATATATATGAGTGTTGTGTATATATGAGTGAGTAGGGGTGTTTATGAGAGTGTGTGCACGTGCGTGCGTGTGTGTGAATATTTTTGTGTGTGCAGTGCGTGAATACATAAATGCTCAGAGGTCAATCTCAGGTGTTGTTTCTTAGGAGATGTCTGCCTTGCTTTTTGTGACAGGATCTCTCACAAGGACCTTGGGCTTGTCAACTGTGCTCGATTGACTGGCCTGTGAACCCTAGAGCTCCACATGTCTTTCCCTCCCCAGCCTTGGAATCACACATCTATACTACCACACCTGGTTTGTTTTACATGGGTGGTGGTGGTGGTTGAACTCGGGCCCTCATACTGCAGGCAAGCACTTTCCCAACTGGGCCATTGCTCCGGCCCCTGAGCTGCATCTTGATCCACTCTGACCTCAGGGATGCTCCTCCTCAGGAAGGTGGGAGAACCTCAGGGTCTTGTTGTCCACCTGTCTGAGCTGTGGGGTCTGTGACCACCGTGAGGGCTCTGCCAGCACCCTGTCCAGGCTGCTCCACCAGGTGATGTAATTCATAGGAAGGGCAGCAGGAGATACAGCTTCTAA